TTAAATATAGGTTAAATTGACTTACATATTTAATCATCTATATATAATTAATTGGTGACATGTTGCTAATTAATTGGCAATTTTAATTCCACGTAATATACCTATTCACCCCCTATAGGTATTGTTAAAGTCGAACTACGTAACTTTCAGACTCATTTCAGCATCCATATATATACTTTATACTACCACTCCCGTATCATACTTGAGATTCTCGCTTGATTGGCCTTTGAACAAATCTCTCTTTTTGGGGAGGTAAAATTTAAATGAATATATTCACCACATTTTTAAAATCTTAAACTTTTAAATGATGCTGTCTAACATAGTACCAAACATCTCGTCTCTGAATTTAAATGAATAAATATGACACTCTAAAAATTAAAATTTAAACTTTTAGATGAAATGTTTCAAGCGGATATCCATTTTCTTCTTCAAAATCAATGTGGGTTCCCAAAGTTTGGTGGCCTCTACCAAAGGTCTTAATGTGATCTTTAAGGGACCTTTTGTGCTTGAAATCAGAACCGCAAATGCAGTACCAAATCTTGCCACAGTTCTTTTCATGTGTTCTCCAATCACCCTTAACAGCAAAGGGTTTCCCACATTTTGTGCACATGAATGATTTGGTTCCATGCTTTCTCTTGTAATGTGTTTGGAGGGTTCTGAAGTCTTTGAGGGGCCTTGCTTTTGGGTGATCAATATTGTGATTGCATCCAGGTGCACAACAATAGCATGGAAGCCTTAGCATTCCAGTTGGTTGAGTTCCCCTTAGAGATTCGGGCCCTTTTCTGTACAGTGATCCATGCCCCCACATATGCATCTGGAAAACATATTTCACATTAATATCACAAAGTAATTAGAAAATTTAAAAGGAATATTTAAATTTAAAAGAAAACGTCGAATTTTGAATATGAAAAATGAATCCTTATAAACATAATATACTAGAAAGTAGACAAAGATAGAAGATTTTTCTTCATCAATCATGCTCACTTCAATCTAGACATATATTAGGTTATGGACCAAAAAAAGTCAACAGGAGATGCCGATTGAGCAGTGCAAGATAGGAACAATAAGTACATAAAGATAAAAATTATGGGAGATGCCCAGCCTCCATGGAAAGATTTTATAGCAGTTTAGGTTATAAATAAATATAAAAGAGTGGTGGATAAGTGAATGCTGCTTGCGAGTTTATTGAAATGCATATTTGAAAATGAAGTTTGACTATTTATAAATTTCCCAAAAGGAGGCACCAATTAATGCTTTAGGATAATAATCAAATTGAGGCGTTTAACTCCGTAGTAACCAATATGGGTTAAAAAAAAATAAAAATAAATTAGATTACAAAAAATGTTCACAGACTCATCTATGCATGTGGATCATCTGTGTATAAAGGAAAAGAGTGTGTGTATGAAATTATAAATGGTTGCAACGATTACATTCTTGATTAAATTATGACTTTGGTGGCGGCAATTCTTCTATGGTAGCTACCTTAACAACAGTTGGAGGAAATTAATAAAAGTTTCATTGTCACCAATTTCTTAGCAAATCTGCCAGGATCTCTTCACTAGATGGGGGAAGGATTAGCAATTATTATGAACAGTTACACTTCCATTTATTCTAGTTGAACCCTAAATTTCAATAAAATTAGCATGTCATCTCTAACAGCTGAAGCTGATAAGCTGCTTCAACTGTGTATCTTTAGAAAATTGAAAGCAACTAAAACTTGAGGCTGAGGGTAGTTAAAAAGCTAAAAAATATACCTGTAAGTTGTTGTATCTGTTAAAACTCTTGTAACAAAGGTGACACGAAAACTGAGTTGGTCCATTGATAATCTGGGAAGAGGTAGGAATCCAGTATTGGCCCTTGTTCAGGCTGTTTAAGGGTAGCTCTGAAAGTACATTAAAACCATCTTTATCAGTCATTTCTCCAGATGAAGAAATCCCGGATCCTGATGAATCAGAATTCGAGCTTATCGGAAGCCCTATATGCAAAGATACAGCTTCACTTTCATAATTAGCGATTGTAGAACAGGTTTCTTCATCCTCCATGGCATTGAAGGAGGGTTTATGATCTTCTTTTGTGAGGCTTAGTTTATTGAGAAGAGGAAGAGCTTCTTTGATGGGAGGTGAAGTGGGTATTATGAAGTTGAACCATCCTGTTGAGAGATAATTGTAAGGTTCTGTCATGATTAGAGTTCAGAGAAGGAGAAGATTTCTTGACTTGATGCTTTAAGACAATATATTATGTATACACACGCGGAGAGAGAAGATTAATCTAAGACAGTGAAAGAACTTTTTACAAGAAATGTTATCCCTTTAATGTTGTGAAAAAAAAAAATTAATTTGACTGAGTGGAAGTCACAAGCAATTCTCTTCCAAGAAATTTTCTGGTCCATGAAGTCTTTTTTAGATGTGACCTCTCCACAAATACTAATCTATAATTCCAATGTTTGACTACTGCAGATTTTAGAAGTAATTCTTTGTATTGAACCTAAAACCCATGAAGACTTGGCCTCTTTTTGAGACTCATTCTCCACGGGAAAAATGTTTTGAAAATATGTGGTTTAAAAATAAGAAAAAATTTTGAAATTATGTGTTAAATTATTTTACGGGAAAATATGTGGTTAAATATAAGTTTTAAAAAAGTGAGTTTTTGAAACAATGGTGCACAAACTCGGGCTTAATCATATACTCTTACTTGTGTGGAGCCTGACATATAGTACACTTTTTCCTCATCTGCGGCAGGCCCCCTGGTGTGTTCCTCCCTTGAAGAAATTTTATAAGTGATATAGAAATACTTTTAATAATTTTATACATATATTATTTCGCCATGATATTTTCATCCATATAAAGGATATTAGGGAAGTATCATTTTATAGAAAAAGAGAGATGTGTGAGTACCACAAAGCACTTTGTAATTCTATTCTTGGATATAATGTATTCTTCAGCAGCACTTAGTGAACATAATTCTCGTATTGAGAGTGAAGAACCTTAAATCATCGTGTACTTTTCTTGCTGTGATTTATTTCACGTTATTTGTTACATTGTAATGCAGATTATTATTTTTAAGTCATATCACATATACCCTTATTCTCTCTTTAGAAAGGGAAAGAAAAAGAAGGAAATTTGTATGGATAAAATTTGTATCGTCAAAATCAGCGAGGACTTATTTAATTTAATTTTATTCTTTTGCATTATGATTAGTCGTGATTATAATCTGGACATGCATGAATAATGGGGTGGTGTCTCTGTCTGCATCCCTGCGGTGTTGCGATTGACGGGGACTCGTGTCACCGGATGGCGTGGGTCGGAGTCTGCAGGGGGAGCGCTGTCGTTGCTATTGCCGGTGGGTTTGTTGGGTGGTTTTTGTGTTAGCGGTCTGATTGTTGTTGGGTGGGGTTTTGGTTGGTTTTTTTGCTATTTATTGGATGGTGGTTTTTGGTGGTGTTGCCGGCGGGTTTGTTGGGTGGTGTGATTGTTCTGCTGTTGTTGGGTTTGGGTCAATTGTTGGTCGGTGTTTGGTGTTGTGTGGGTTCGTGGATTTTGGGTTCATTGTTGAGACTCTGTCATTTCAGAGTGCTCTTTCTCTCTTCGGAGATGTTTGAAGTTTAGACACTGCCTGTCTTGTGCGGGGGCGCTCAAGTGCTGATTGCGTTAGTGGGCTTATTGTCGGGTTTTCCGTACTCTTAGGTCACAGTTGTAACTTCGCAACGGACCACTTCCACAGTTCGGTTTTTGGTGTTTGTTGATTTGGAGGTGTATTTGTTGTTTTTCTGTTTGCTTTTGACTTCGTTGTTGTATAGTTTATTGTTGTTGTTGATGTTTTTGTTTTGCTCTGGTAGCACTTAAACTCTCTTTGGAGAGCATTGTGTTTGAGGTGTTTTCCTCATTGTATCAGTTTTATGCTAAGTCAGTGGACGTGATTTTCAAAAAAAAAAAAAAGATGGTTTATGAGCCCATTGACATGAAGGTATGAAGGAGAGTGAAAAAGATCACTCGATACCTTGGTGACGTCACACACACACACACATTATTATAATTTTGTTATATACTCTTATGATTTTCTTTAATTAATTGTGTTGATAATAAAAATTGAAGTGACTTTGTACCAATTTCCGTAAATTAGAGTTCTGCAAAATCAACAGTTCGATTAACCCTTAACTTGGTCTAGCTGGGAGGCTGCTTACCATTTATTCTCACAAATTAATTATAAAGGCACTACCCCTTCACGGATGGGAAAAACTTGCATCCATTTTGTTGACATACAAAAAGTATAACCCAAATTGAATAGTTCAAGGGATGAAACCCAGTTAGGAAGTCCAGGATGAAGACCCAAATAAGACCATTAATGAATGCAGTAGAAGTTCAAGAACAACGTACCATCATCCCCCAAGCTCATAAAACGCCCAGGATTTGAGCGAATGGAGTGCCTTAAGATCACCTAGAGCAAATGAGCCCGTTCTCGCCCAAACCTTCAGATCGCCCAGGATCTTAGCAAACATGAGTTAATATGGTTATCCAGAACAACAGTTATTGAAACAGTTATAAAGCAACCTTATCACACCCCACGATCCAAGAATCACGGTTATAAGCAGTTAAACGACAAGAGTAATGACAACAGTTAGAGACGACAGTTCCATGACAAGTCGGCCATCAATGAAGAAAGTGGGTAGTTATAGTGTATCAAGCAGTTTCCAAACAGTTTTTCACAAAGAAACTATCAATGAAATATAAAAGGAAACGAAAACATCGAGAAGAGGGACTTCGAATCAAATACTCAATAGAGAATATGTAATTTCAATTTCTTAGTTTAACTTTAAAACACTTCTTTTAGTACTCGTGTGCTTGCGCCCTTTAGAGGCATTCTGTTTATTTCCAATTGTAAATTTTTACCAATAAAGCACCCATTTTTGAGACTGTCTCAAGATGTCTGTTCCTTACACAATCGTCAGAACTTTTTTTAATTGTTAGCGACAACCCACGCGAAATAATTTGGTACGCCCGGTGGGACATTGGTGTTTGGTGTTTGAGGATACAAAAAGTGAAGTATTATGCCTCATAAGTCTGATAAGGAACCAGCATGTCAGAGAGTAGTTCAGTTTGTGATCGAGCGATATAAGGAGCAGCAAAGCTCTCCGCGAACAAAGGGACAGAGTCAGAGCAGTCATGGTCGTTACGAACCAATGACATAGTTGAGTCCTCGAATCATGCGTGCATTGCTTGGGGAACTCATATAGGATGTCGTTGAACATGTAAATCTACGAAATGTTCATAATTTGAAAAGATTTACCCAGAAGGGGAATGCACATTATGACAACATGGCCAAACAACTGAATAAATTAAATGGAATAATGAACAAGTTAGAAGGCCAAATGTGTCAGCCAGTTGTGCCTATTGCAAACCACTTTCAAACTAGGGCGATTGTAGGACATAATTCCCCAGTCCTAAGTCCAAATCAAGGGATATAACCACCTTTTGGTCTGTCTACTTCAAACTAGGGGGCGGTGTAGTGCCAAACTTGAATAGTGGTAATGGTACGTCAAACATGGGGAGTAACCTAAATATAAGAGACAATGTCCTAAATAATGGATAGAATATCCCACATGTTAATGATGGAATAAATGTTCAGGCTAATGGTAACAATGGCAACTTTGTCGCCAACCAAGGACCAAATGTTAGGCCTCAGCCAACTCAACCGGTCAACTAACCTGTAGGAATTCCATATGACCCCAATATCATGTTGAGGAATCAAATTATGGAAATAGTACA